CATATAGAATTTGCTTTCCTGGAAATCAGCAGTTTCACTACAACCATCAACATATCAAACTCTCCATTACATGAGAATTTGTATCCAGGGCTGAAAAATACCATGAGCTAAACAGAAGTCTAGGGGCACCCGTCCCAAGCTACCAACCGAAGGCATGCGCTTGTTCAAAAATCAGAAAATGAGACAGTATTATGTAATACTTTCAGAACCTCTCTAGGACTAGACATTTCAAATAACTATGCTTCTAAGTAATCTACTTTAAGTAACAAAAATTATATTTGAATCATTTTGGATAAAAAACTAAAATATGTTTTTCCTACTTCCACTGACACACTACGTTGCATATAACTTAATCTGTATTTGATGGCTAAGAGTCATAATAAACAGAAATTACAGCACTAAGATATAGTACAATGATGCTTGGGTCCTACGCAGGTGTGTAAGGCTATGGACATCTATAGTAAGAGTTTCAAATTACCGAGGATGGAGAAAGCTATGATAGATTTTAATGGCTTTTTCTGTCTCTTATTTTGTCAATCAGTCACACGGACATATCCTACTACTATAAACGCTATAAGGAAACAGACTACGTATCAGGAGAGGGACTGATTTTGATAAAGCACCTACTCTGTGCCAGGTCTGAGATAAACTTGGCAATGCATCTAGCAATCAGCCTGGCACAAAAGTAGAAAATGGGTAAACACTGGGTAAATGAACAGCACTAATGTGCCTGCCTAAGCAGGTTCTCTCTCTTATTTACAGTTTCTAATCTGCCATGACCTGGAAAACACATACACAAGTGTGAAAGAACACCATTTAAAATGTGTCTAGTCTGGTACTTTGCACACACCGGGGGCAGTATGGCAAAACTATATGTGCTGAACTGAACTAAGGATGGGTAACAGTGAGCATTCACAATGTGCCAGAAACTGTGGAAAGTGTCTTACACACATTATCTAAGACAATACCTAGAAGGCAAACAATAGTATCCCCATTTTACAGATGGAGAAACTGAGGCTCCAAGTGATTGAGTAATTTGTAATAAAATCAAGCAGCTAGCCAGTGATGGCAGTACACTATGAATTCAGGCAGTCTGACTACAGAACAAGTGGCCTTTTTCTTCTTTAATATTTATTTATTTTTGAGAGAGAGAGAATAAGCAGGGGAGGGGCAGAGAGAGAGGGAGGCACAGAACCTGAAGCAGGCTCCAGGCTCTGAGCTGTCACCACAGAGCCTGATGTGGAGCTCGAACTCACAAATAGTGAGATCATGGCCTGAGGTGAAGTCAGATGCTCAACGGACTGAGCCACCCAGGCGCCCTGGGAACAAGTAGTATTAATCATGATACTACACTGCCTCTGAATGTGCAGTAAATAAAAAAAGGTCAGAAAGACACGAAGTTCATAACTTTTTTTTTTCCTAGTAGCAGTTTTTGCTGACTTTCTGATTCTCAGGGATATTCTCGACTGGTGAGGGTTACTATATGTAAACATCATACTGGCATAGTGCAATAGACTATGAAGCCAGACAAGTAAAGAATGAGCCAGGAAGCTACTGTAGACTACAGACGATTGGTTCCAAAGAAGTAGAAGCCTGAGAGATCTGTGTGTATTAGGGTCATTGGGCAGGGGGGCGGGGGCTGTAAGAAGTTAAGACCTAAGCACAAGAAGTATAAAAGAAAAGAGATGGCTTACTTAAGAGTGCATTTTGTAGCTTCAGAATAAGTAAGCACAAAGCCTTTGTCGAACGAGGGAAGGAGAGTCATAAATAAATGAACAGACAAACACACATGTGGTTTGGAACATTTATACCCGATGCAGCTGTAAGCACCTCTTCTTGCCAGCTNAGACAAGTAAAGAATGAGCCAGGAAGCTACTGTAGACTACAGACGATTGGTTCCAAAGAAGTAGAAGCCTGAGAGATCTGTGTGTATTAGGGTCAGGGGGGGGGGGGGGGGGGGGGGGCTGTAAGAAGTTAAGACCTAAGCACAAGAAGTATAAAAGAAAAGAGATGGCTTAAGAGTGGGGGCATTTTGTAGCTTCAGAATAAGCACAAAGCCTTTGTGGAACTAGGGAAGGAGAGTCATAAATAAATGAACAGACAAACACACATGTGGTTTGGAACATTTATACCCGATGCAGCTGTAAGCACCTCTTCTTGCCAGCTTTACTGGGTCACTCAAACAGCTGGACAAACACAGGTTACAGTTGGCAGTACTAGTAGGGGTACAACATGGCAGCTAATGCAGATTGTATGAAGCTACAATTCCCTAGCTCCTGTTAAGGGCCCTTGAGTTGAGGAGTGTGGGCACGGGGAACCTACCCTCTACTATTTCCAAATCTAAAAAGGGAGGGGATGCTGACCTAGGGACTATTTAAATACACAGTATCATTTGCTCAGAAATCTTTCACTAGATTGAACCAGAATCACCTCTAATTAATGACACACCTAGTGTAACTATTGCGTGCAGATCCTCCCTGCCCCTACGGATTCCAGGGATGAGAGGTTAGGGCAGCTCTCAGGCCACCTACCATCTCTATTAGAGACATGAGAGCAAGTCAGGAATCAGGTGTCTTATGCAAGGGTGTGGAGGCCACCATCCACACTTTAGGACAGAAACTGAACTTATTAGCATGAGACCAAAAGGAAAAAATATTGTGGTCAACAAAGATTTCCTAGTCCTGCTTAACTACACAGCAGCTCAATCCTCAGCAAAATGTTAACAGTCTCTAAAGTGTGAGCCCCAAGAGTAATTTGACCTGTACTTGAAGGTGGGAGATATATACAAGTGTCTCACTTCAGCAGGATATACTAGGGGTTGAGGTATCTTCTGGCAAAACTCCAAATGCTACATTATTCAACTAATGAGAGACTGGCACCTCTGAACATGTATGGTCTTTCTCTCATCTCTCAGACATCACAAGTGCAGAAATATCAAAGTAATCCAGGGAAGATTCAAAACCCAATGCATGCATTCAAAGTACATTTATCAGTTGTGAGGCACTGATCTAGGGGCTGGGACTATAAACATAAGAAAGACTAAGTCACTCGAAAAGATGGAAGTGGACCCATTCATTATTATTACCCTTTATCATGCCCCAAAACTCAAGGCTGCTAGAAGGAAGTTCTTCTAGTGCCCTACTAGCACCAAATAAGTCTTTTTCCTGCTTCTATGCCTCCGATCATAGCTTGCCAACCTGGAATGCTCTCACTGTACTCTACCTATCTAAATCCTCATGTCCTCCAAAGCCAGCTCAAGTCTCCTCCTAGCCCTGATTTCCATCTCATTCCCTAAGTTCTGTCTCATTTTGCTGAACTACTAACAACTGCAGCGAGTACAACCATCACTTTATTGAGAAATCTGTCATCCTCTAATTGATACTTTTATTTATTCAATGAATCCTGGGTACCAACTGTGTGACAGCACTGTTCTGGGGACTGGAGAAACCCTGGCAAACGGCACTGGTTTTAACCTCCCCAGAGAACTCATGGGGAGAGTTCTACTATGCCGCTTTTTTTGTTTGTTTATTTTTATTTTTGAGAGAGAGAGAACGCACACGCAAATGGAGGAGAGGCAGAGAGAGAGGGAGACACTGAAGGAAGCAGGCTCCAGGCTCTGAGTTGTTAGCACAGAGCGGGACGTGGGATCTCAAACCCAAGAACTGGGAGATCATGACCTGAGCAGAAGTCGGACGCTCAACCGACTGAGCTACCCAGGCACCCCTCCTATGCCCTTTTAAAAATCTTCCTGTGTAGACCTGGCTCTGTACTCAGTGCTTAATACATAACAATTTATTAGAGCCTTGGGCTTCTCTGGTCCAAATTCACTCAAATTGAAGTTACATAAACCAATGGGGAACAAAAGCCAACGAAGCCATTTCTAAATGAACTTCCACTTCTTAAAAACCTCAAAAGAACAAGGAAGGAAAAGAAAACAGGCTATGAAAGTGCTGCTGAACCAACACATTTTACTCACACTGACAAAGCACCTCCAATCCCCCCTCCAAGCCACACAAAAGTGACCTTTCTCTCTCCGTCCTTACCAGCTCCGGATTCAAGTATTTATTTTTTTTTAAGGTTTTTTTTTTTTTTCTTTTCTAGAGAGAGTGAGTGAGCAGGGGAGGGTCAGAGAGAGAGGGAGTCACAGACTGAAACAGGCTCCAGGCTCTGAGCTGGCAGTCAGCACAGAGCCCGACGCCGGGCTCGAACCCACGAACCGTGAGACCATGACCTAAGTAAGCGAAAGTCGGACGCTTAACCGACTAAGCCACCCAGGCGCCCCTCAAGTGTTTATTTTAACAACAGATCTCAGAGAAGTTTAAAGCACCCCTAAGTTTCCTAAGCAAGTCTTTCTAAAGCTTTGTTTCTTGATGAATAAACCCCTTGATGAATCTCGCATATGCCCCTTAAAGAGACTAATCCAATGAGGTTCCCTGCAACGAACTAGAATTTGAGCTTCAAACACAAGAGGGGCTAAAAGAACACTTTGAACGTGATAAATCCAGACACAATTTTAATATCAACAACAAAAGCCAGGTCCTGCGGAAAGCCAGGTCCTGCGGAGCGGGGTGGAAGGTTCCAAGTTCCCAAGAAGGGAATCAAGAGAATTTCCTCCGGGGAAGCGGTTAGAGTCTGGAAGGCGCGGGAGTTTCTGCAGGAGGTGAGGGAGATTTCAAATAAATATTTCTCTGCTCTAACGTGGCTTGTGAGATACGACAGCTGGCACCCGACCGCGGGCGACGGTGAAGCCGGGCTGTGCCATGCGGCGGAGGCTGCCACCCGGGCACTCCCACCATTCTCCGCAGCCGAGACGAGAGCCCGGCGCCGCGCCGACCTGCACCGGCGCTCGTGACCCCGCGGGCCGCCCGCCCTCGACCCGTGGCACTCAGCAAACCCGCTCGCCCGGGTCTCTGGAGCCCCGACCTCTCAGGAGCCCCAGGAGACGGGCGGGGGAGAGGGGGGGTCTCCAGCCAGCCGTCCGGCCCCGGCGCGTTACCCACCTGAGCAGACTGGAGAGGGGGTGGCTCGAGGACCCGAGGCCGCCGCCGCCGCCGCCGCCGCCGCCGCCGCTGCTGCTCCCGGAGGAGCCGCCGCCGCCGCCGCCGCCCCCGAAGCCTGAGGAGAGCCGCTTCCCGGACAGCAGCTTCTCCACGGCCGGGAGGTGCCCGGTGCGGGCCGCCTCCAGCAGCTCCTGCTCCTTCCCCATCCCCAGGGCCACCGCCTCCCTGGACCCCCTTCCCGGGGCCGCAGCCGAGCCTGCTCCGGCTCCCAAACTTTCCGTCTCCGGGCAACGCAACCCCCAAACCGGCCGGGGACACCACCCCCCTCCCCCCCCCCGCCTTTTCTGCCCAGGAGCGCGTCACTTCCGGGATCTGGCGTCACGCGTCACCGCGCCCCCGCGCCCCGCCCCCTTGCCCACCTAGCTGGGCGGGGCCGGCCATCGGGTGCAGGTGGCTTTGATCAGCGGGAAGCGAACCGGTTCGTGCCGGGATAGGCTTCCAGGGGCAAGAGGAAAGCGCCTAGTAGATACTCGCTGTACAGGTGTTAGGGAACAAACGGGACCCACCTGTATGCGCTTCCCGAAGTGCGCTTCCTCCCCCAAGGTTTTGGGAGCCCACAGGACAGGAAATACGGTAATTCATCCAGGCAGCGTGGAAACAAAGAGAGAAATATGGTAACGCGCACCTACATTTCCAGGTTCATTCTTTCAGCACTCATAAAGTAATATGTGATGGATGTTGAGATCTAGTGATAAAGAGGTGAATAAAATGTCCAGCTCCGTACCTCAATGAGGGAAGAGAGGAAAAAAAAATTTTTTTTTTGCTGGTACTTTTTATTTTTTTATTTTTTTACAAATAGTTTATTGTCAAATTAGTTTCCACATAACACCCAGTGCTCATCCCCACAAGTGCCCTCCTCCATGCCCATCCCTCCTCCCCCCACATCCATCAGTCCTCAGTTTTTGTCAGCATTCAAGAGTCTCTCATGGTTTGCCTCTCTCCCTTTCCCCCACCATTTCCGCCCTTCTTCTCCCCCTTGTTCCTCCGTCAAGTTCCTCCTAATCCTCCTATATGTGCAAACATATGATATTTGTCCTTCTCTGCCTGACTTATTTCGCTCAGCATAACACCCAAGAGAGGAAAAGTTTTAAATAGAAATATCTCTTCTTCATGGTCCCAATCTCTGAAAAAGGCTCGTTAAAGTGAAACCTGCAAAGACAGGACCTCCCTTCCCAGTAGAATGTTTCCTCTTACTTTTGATGGAATTAACTGAACTGACATAAGAAGTCAGGTTTGTGAAAACGACCTGGATATTGAGTACCGGTGAATTGGAAACATCATTTAATTAGGTAGAAAGTATATATTGTCTTTGCTACTAGAACTGTTCCTAGTTCGAAGTAGGCGATCAACAGATATGCAGTGAATAAATGGGTTGGATCAATTCTGTTCAAGCTGTATGACCTTTTTTTATTTAGGTGCTTGAGGAGCCAAAAGGAAATGCTGGCAATTCACACAGCACCACGGTCTCTAGCCAATTGAAATGTACGAGGTTGAGTCCCTGCCTAAAAGTTTACCAGGCAGCCGCAACCTAAGACACTGGCGTACAACGGAAATGAGTCTTCTCCCGTCCCCAAACTTTACTGAGGAAAGCGGATTAAAGAGTTAACTGCGTTTTTAGAAAGGCATAAAGGAAAGGGGGGAAAGTCTATTCAACAACACAACTCTCCTTTACAACTGCTGATTTCCCAGGGTGGGAAACCCATAAACTGATTTCCGTACCCTCAATTTTCCCTCTCCAACCACCAGCAAATCAGTCAAAACGGAGCTCGTGAGGTCCTCTACGCGTGCCTCAAACTGACCCCTCCGAGGAGCCGTAGGTGTGACGTCATAGTAGCGCGACGATAGGAAGTAAGCTTCTGGGCTTCTCTGGCTCAGTCAGTCCCGAGCTCCAGAGCCTGCCAGGACTGCGTCCGTAGCTGCAGAGTCTGGCAGGCTTGCGATCTGTCCCTTCTTTTCCTTGCTGCTATGGATAATGCCTGCGAGTCGCCCACGGGAAAAGATGGGGAGACAGGGGAGTCAGAAGAAACGGCTGCTGCTCCCGGGGGCCCCGGGGCCACGGATACAGACGGAATCCCGGAGGAAACTGATGGGGACGGAGATGCGGATTTGAAAGAAGCCGCGGCCGAGGAAGGCGAGGTAGGGAGAGCTGTGTGGATGAGGTCAGAAGAGTAGTCCGATGTTGCGTTAGTACTTGCTCGACCGGCTTCCTGGTTGTTCTCTGCCAAGCTGAGATAACTCGAACTCACCGGGACTCCCTCTAGATCTGCCAAGATGGGTGCAGAGAGGGAGGAGACAAAACTATATGCTGATTCCGTTCCCGAGCCCCAGCCTCTGGGTTAATACTTTTAATCCCTACCTCTAGATAGTAAAGCTACTTCTAAGAGAATTTTTAAATTTAATTTAGGTAAATTTACCCCTAACGTGGGGCTGGACCTCAGGACCCTGAGATCAACAGTCCTATGCTTTTAGGCAGAGCCACTCTGGCGCCCCTAAGAGAATTTTACAGAGCCTCTTGGTTTTCCTGGTGAGGACATTGGGATCTGATGTTAAAGACTTAGTGCAAGAGCTAGAACCCAGGATGCCTCGGATCCCTTTGACCGAAATGTTTTTCCTAGATGTTGCTCAATGTGTCATATGCTGCAGAGTCGATAAAGGAAACCTTTACGGAGTTACTGGTTTAGTCATGTTTTTACCCTCTTGGGACATTTAACTAGGACTAGTGACCTGGGTGTCAATGTCCCAGGGACTCTATAGCATAAACACACCAAACCCATTAGTTGTGCCACCCCAAGAGCTCAGCAGTGTTGCCTACTGAGCATCAGTCAGAGGACTAGAATTTCAGCGTTCTCTGGATTCCATTTCTAGAGATGGAATCTTGGAGTCTTAGAACTTCTGTGGGGCGCCTGGGTGGCTTAGTCCGTTAAGCGTCCGACTTTCGCTTAGGTCATGATCTCGCAGTTTGTGGGTTCGAGCCCCGCGTCGGGCTCTGTGCTGACTGCCAGCTCAGAGCCTGGAGCCTATTTCAGAGTCTGTGTCTCCCTCTCTCTCTGACCCTCCCCTGCTCACGCTCTCTCTCTCTCTCTCCTAGAAATAAATAAAAATATTAAAAAAAAAAAAAAACTTCGGAGGGACTTAAACATCACGGGGAGGACATTGAATTAGATAGAAATAGCCTTTCAGAGCATTAAGTTGCATCAAAGTATATCAAGTAAGAACTTTTAGAAAAATGTGGGGTTGCCTGGATGGCTCAGATGGTTGAGCATGGGACATTTCCTTTCAGCTCAGGTCATGATCTCATGGGTTCCTGAGTTCAAGTCTTGCATTGGGCTCTGCACTGTCACCAAGGCGCCTGCTTGGGATTTCTCTCTTTGCCTCTCTCCCACTTGTGCATGCATGCTCTCTCGCTCACTAAAAAAATAAACATTAAAAAAGAAAAGAAAAATGTGATGTAACTTTTTTAAGAAGGAACCTTTTAAAAAGATCTGAAGGACATAGAGGATTTGAATAATAATTGGCTCTGGAAGAACTAAACTCTCTACATATAGAAATTTGCACCCAACAGAAGATACTTTTTGATACTTCTAACTGAAACACTTTTTTAAAAATGTTTATTTATTTTTGAGAGAGAGAGAGAGAGAGCACGACAGGTGGGGGTGGGTTACAGAGAGAGAGAGGGAGACCCAGAATCCGAAGTAGGCTCCAGGCTCTGAGCTTCAGCACAGAGCTTCTTTGGGGCTGGAACCCATGAGCCATGAGATCATGACCAGAGCCAAGGTCCGACGCTTAACCGACTGAGCCACCCAGGCGCCCCAAATTGACTGAAACACTTTTAAAAATTGATCATATACCAGGGGCATCTGGGTGGCTGGTTGGTTGAGCTTCCAACTCTTGATATCGGCTCAGGTCATGATCTCAGGGTTTGTGACATGGAGCCCCTCGCGGGGCTCCCTGTTGACAGCGCAGAGTCTGCTTGGGATTTTCAGTCTCCTGTCTCCCTCTCTGCCCTTCCCCGACTTGCGTGTGTGCAAATGCGCTCCTTCCCTACCTCTCTCTCTCCCTCCCTCAAAACTTAAACATTTTTTATTTTTTAAAATTTTTTTTATTTAAATATTTTTAAAGTTAATTTAAAATTAACTTTAAAGTTTAAAGTTAATTAAGTTAACTTTAAAAATTGATCATATACTGGGGTGCCTGGGTGGCTATCAGTTAAGGATCTGACTTCGGCTCTGGTCATGATCTCATGCGTCGTGGGTTTGAGCCCTGTATCAAGCTTGTGCTGACAGCTGAGAGCCTGGACCCTGCATCAAATTCTGTGCCTCCCTCTCTCTATGCGCCTCCACACTCGTGCTCTGTCTCCCTCTCTCTTTCTCAAAAATAAATAGACATTAAAAAAATAAAACTAAAAATTGATTATATACCATGCCACAAAGGACACAAACTCTTAAAAGTGAAAATCAAAATAGGCCCCATCCTATTACCACAGTGCAATAAGTGTGAAATTAACAAAAAGCTTCTCTCAACTTCCACTCCCCCCAAATAAACTAACACCCAGGACTTAAAACTGTTTTTTAAATAGTCCTTAGGTTAAAGAAATTAGCAAAGAGAACACTACCATCATATTATATGGGCTTTGACCAAAGCCGTATTTAAAGAAAAATTCATAGCTTTACATATTTGTATTAATAAATAGGAGATGCTGAAAATAAGCACCCAACTCAAGAAACCAGAAAAAGAACAGAATAAACCAGAAATATTTGATGTTCAGATTTTAGGCCAAATAAATTTTAAAATCTAAAAAAATTTTTCATTTTTAAGGAAAATATAAATCACCAAAATTCAAGCAGAGAGGTTAGAAAACTTGTATAAATAGTTAACTAGAGAAGAAATTGAAAACGTTTTTAAAGATACACTTACCTTCACTTTTACCTACCCCCTCATATTCCTGTATGAGTTTATGTGAGTTCCTCTTTAAGAAAAATATACGTTAAATCCCATTAATTAAGTTTGTTTCTTTTTGATTTTAAGTTGGAGGGGACGAAGTTTGGATTTTAATTACTATTAAACATCTAGCATAAGTAAACCTATGTTAAATGCTTATGTGGGGAGAGATAAAGAGACAAACCTATCATCAAAAGGTTTACAATCTAGCAGTGAGAAACATTTGCATGATACAGTAGAACTGAAAGAGAAGAGAAGAGCACTACATGTGAGAGAAACTCAATTAAAAGTTCCAAATCCATGGGCACCTGGGTGGCTCAGTCAGTTAAGCATCTGATTCTTGATTTCAGCTCAGGTCATGATTTCACGGTTCATGAGTTGGAGTCCACATCGGGCTCTGTGCTGTCAGTGTGGAATCTGCTTGAGATTCTCTCTCTCTAAAAAGTATATATTAGGGGCTCCTGGTGGCTCAGCCAGTTAGGTGTCCGACTTCGAATCAGGTCATGATCTCACAGATTGTGAGTTTGAGCCCTGTGTCAGGCTCTGCTGACAGCTCAGAGCCTGGAGCCTGCTTCAGATTCTGTGTCTCTTTCTCTCTTTGTCCCTCCCCCATTTGTCCTCTGTCTCTTAAAAATAAATAAATGTTATTAAAAAAAAAAAAGTATATATTGAAAAACAAAAGTTTCAAATCCAGGACCAACTAACTCACCCAGTTGATAAAACCTATGACTCTTGATCTCAGGGTCATGAGCTCGAGCCCCATGCTGGGAGTAGAGGTTACTTTAAAAAAAAGGAAATTATTAAAAGTTCCAAATCCAAAGAAATGCCGTTTTGATGAGAAGGGGCCTCCTTTTTAAAAGTCTTTCCAAATGGAATCATCAGCAATAAAGAGATGTATAGATTTAGAGGCAGGAGAGCTGACTGGATGGAGAGGATTTTTCTGACATCCCCTCTAAAGGATGAGGTCAGGAAAGTAGGCTCAATGCAGGGGAGAGGTTTTCATGATCCTTGGCACTTCATTTCCTTTGTAAACGTACTAGAGCTATGATCATATACCTAAACTGGAAAGCTGGATTCTTTGGCTGGTTTTCTTTCCACAGCTGGGCTATAAACTTCTTAAGGAGAGAGAGTGTATCTTACGCACGATGGTACAGCCAGTGCTTGGAACCAAAAAAACTATTGAATAATGGATTTGTTGTGTTGTAATGAGAATAAAGTCTTACCTTCTTCCCCAAGTCTGGAAAGTAGGCCAAATATATAATAGTGTTTCTTTTCATCTTCTCAGCTCAAGAGTCAGGACATCTCAGATTTAACAGCAGTTGAAAGGGAAGACTCCTCTTTACTTACTCCTGCAGCCAAAAAAATGAAAATAGATACCAAAGAAAAGAAAGAGAAGAAGCAAAAGGTGGATGAAGATGAGATTCAAAAGATGCAGTAAGTTACTTTCTGATTTTTTTCCCCATTTAAGCCTCTAACTTGACCACACAAAGTTAATAAATTTGAGGGGCCTTTAAATTTTTTTCCTTTTTTATACTCAAAAGAAGGTAAAGCAAATAATACTTTCTTGTAACATTTTAGGAAATATAAATAAATAGAAAGAAAAAATATCTTCTTATCACCAGAGATCAACACTTTTAGTATTTTGAGGGATAGTCTCCAAGATATTTTCTATACATATATATCCAGAAGTAAATTTTTTCAAAGATGTTACTGTTTGTGACCTGCTTTTCACATTGTATATGGTGAATGTTTTCCATGTCAGTAATTATACATAGCTCATAACTTTTTTTAATAGGCTCATTGCATACCTGCCAGAGAATACAGAAAAACTGAAAAAAAATTACCCATAATCCCACCACCCAGAGTTAACCCTGGGTATATATTAGGTTATCTACTTTTTCAGATTTTGTTTTAAATGTTTTAAATATTTATAGCTAAATATTTTCTTGTTGTAAATCTGCCCATATATTATCAATTTCAAGGGCTGCATTGTATTCCATTGTGTGGATGAGTGATCATTTAACCAATCCCTATAGTTCTTTTTCTTTTCTTTTCACATTATGATGATGAGCATCTTTGAGCACATCTTTGCCTACTTAAACATTTAGTCCTTAAATAAACTCCCAGGAGTGAATTGCCAGTTCAGACAGTCTGAATATTTTCAAAGGCTCTTCATACACATTTCCAGATTCTTCTCCAGAAAGGTGGTTGCACTTCACACTCTATCAGCATGAATGAGTTTGTGTCCTCCCATTCTTACTAATACCATTCTTTTTTTTTTTTTTTACAAGTAGTTTATTGTCAAGTTGGTTTCCATATAACACACAGTGCTCATCCCCACAAGTGCCCTCCTCATGCCCATCTCCCCCCACTAATACCATTCTTTATAATGCTCACCTATCTGATTCATGAAAAATGTTATCTTATTTTAGTTTAGCATTTTAATTTCTTTGTTTAATAGGGAAGGTTAACTTTTTTCCCTCTGTATTGGTCATCAGTATTTTTGTAACTTCCCTATTCATGTCCTTTGCTTATTTTCAAAATTGCTATCTTTTATTTATTGGAAAGCATTAAGAGCATTAACCCTTTTCCATGTATTTTACAAATATTTTCCCCCAAGTCTGTTAATGTCAAAAAATACTGGTTTGAGTATAAATTCATGTATCAAATTTTTACCATCAATGTGAAATGTAATAAGGTAGAGTTAGGGGAAGAGAGAGCCTAGTGCTGAAAACATAATCTACATAGTGATCCCAACATTATAGTTTACGTTTTTGTTGTTAATGAAGTAGAAAGGAAGTTGTGTTTCACTTTTTCTCAAGTTTCTTAAGAGTAAAAATGCTTTATCTTCATTCCTTGTAAGCGCCAAGCCTAATGCTATTGACCCCTCAAAAATTCATTTTCTAATTGTCTGAGACTTGCTTTTATTAATGTGATAATATACCTTAAACATTCATCGTTGTAAGCCAACTTAATTATCTGAATCTTTGCATAGGATCCTGGTTTCTTCTTTTTCTGAGGAACAACTGAACCGTTATGAAATGTACCGCCGGTCCGCGTTCCCTAAGGCAGCCATTAAAAGGGTAAGGACGGACTACCACACTTCATTTCCATCAGATAGGAGAGTTGAACTAGATGCAACAACTATGTCCACTGGTTTAAGTGAGGTGTTAAGTTGGTAGATCATTCATGCAGGAAAACAAAAATAACATGCCTCTCAATTATCAGTTGGAGTTTTGTATTCCAGGGATAAGGTCTAAATATATAGAATGGATTGCTATACACCTGAATCTTTGCTTTAATAGTCTTAATTTCAGTATCCAGCCTTAAGTAAAAACTTTGTTTAGTGCAAAACTCTGAAGGGTACCATATTCTAAAGCCAGTCCTTGACTTTCTTAATCATGGTTTTTGTCCTTATTTCAAGCTGATCCAGTCGATCACTGGCACCTCTGTGTCTCAGAATGTTGTTATTGCTATGTCCGGCATTTCCAAGGTTTTCGTCGGGGAGGTGGTGGAAGAAGGTAAGTGTTGTTGATACATGTATGGGATTAAACCTCTGGTGGTCTTAACTTTCAAGAATATCTATACTAAGGGACCTAACAAAGTACCTGTGGGTGTTTTCATTTGCACGGGAAGTTGACCAAGTGGGGCACTTTGTATTCAGGAAAGCAAGACAATTATTCCTCAAAAGTTTTAATACTGGGACTCAAGGAAGCATCTGTGAAAAAACTCCGGATTCCAGTTCTTGGTCCAGGGTAACAGAAGCCTACTCCGTATTTTTATCCAATGGAGTTTACTCATTTCTGTTGCCAATTTAAAGACAATATAAGCTATCATTGGGGACTAACCAGTGAGTGTGGTATGAAGAGGAGTTGTCACTGATGTTATGAGTCTTGGGAACTGTCTTCTATCCATCAAGGAGGTACCTGGCTGAGTGTATTGCTGATCTCCAGTGAGTGAATTTTTTTTTAAGCAGATGATTATATATTACACTAAAGCAAATGTGATAAGTTTTATAGCATTCTCTTAAGAAGGGAAAATGTCTTAGTTTATTTCCTTAGCGAGCTGAAGAAGGATTAATGAGAATTACAGGATTCAAATGGATTATGTGATTAATAAGTCCTTGTGCGACAATGAAACTTTCTTCTTGTCCTCTGTTTAGCACTGGATGTGTGTGAGAAGTGGGGAGAGATGCCACCACTACAACCCAAACATATGCGGGAGGCTGTTCGGAGGTTAAAGTCGAAGGGGCAGATCCCCAACTCAAAGCACAAAAAAATCATCTTCTTCTAGACGAAGCCTAGAAGAGGCTGGTACTGAAGGAAGAAGTGCCGGTTCCAGACTTCCTACTGCATGAGACTTTTGCACAGGTGCTTTAGTGCCTCACCCCTCCAAGGGTTCCATGATGATTTTAATGTCTCTCTCAGAACTCTGATATTCATCACATCTGAAAGGCATGCAGCCTGTTTCATACTTGCCTTGACTAAATATTGGCACCTCTTCGGACATTCTGAGGTATTTAACTGTTTCTTGGCTAGTTGGAAGAAGAAAGGTACATGGGCCTCAAGCATCTTCCAGACAGGGAAGCTGCTTTCAGAGAGAAAATCTTTCCAAGAAAGCTTTGGTGGTTTCACATTGAAGCATGAAACTGCTATGAGTTAGGTTGTTTCTTCCATCTGGTTTTAAGTAGATGAACCAACCAGGCTTGGACTTGATCAACAACTTGGACTTGTGATACTCTACCATGAAGAACAGTGATAGGAGGAGGAGTGGAAAAGTTTATCCCTGTAAACATGTAAAGTTCTCCTATGGATCTTGGTGAGTGATCATTAAACTGTTTTCCAACTTGCCACATGTGTATTCATTTTCTGTTTAGCTGGTTGGAATGGGGAGAAGTTCATCATTCTTTTTTGGTGTCAGATTAAAACTGGTCTTGGCTTTTTTTGAACATTTGAGCCCTTCCCGTTTTCTACTAGAACCACTAAAATTTTCTCAAGAGTACTTGGAGCCCTTAAAAATAATGTAAAAGCCCATATATATTCAGGTTCCTATAAACAGATAAACCACAACCAATGTTTAGTAAGTTTAATTTGCTTTTTTCAGGTGGTTCACAGAACCAGTACACTCAAGGTTTGATTAGATAATGCAACATTAAAATTTCCCAATACTGACCAGTATTCCAGTTCATCAGATACATTCTCTTTGTTTTCCTCAAAGAGAGGGGAATGGAGTGACCTTTTATTGACAGTGATTAGCAGTAATAAGGCTACTGTATATAATTGGCAATCCCCAAGAATCCTTTCCTCTCTCATTCAGTGTCATAGGGAGAAGAGTTTTGAAGCTATTCTCTTTTGAAACTTTCCTGAGCATGAGATTCCAATTCTGTTCAGCACCCTGATGCGGGGGAAGGGGGAGAGACAGCTTGGACTCACAAAGTTGAGCAAATCTAACTTTTAGTATCTTACATTAAAACCCATGGCTTTAAACATATTTAGCCAGTGAAGAAGACACTTGAGTGGGGCATTCCACAAAGAAACGCTGTAAGACTCAGGCTAAATCTTGACCAAAAACTAATAAACTGGGGGAAGGAAAGAAACACAGATAGTCTCTCAGTTCTAACAGGATGTTTTTTTTACGGTTATAGAACTATAGCTATTTCAATTTGACATATTGGATAAGGCTGAAACTTATAAACAACAAGGGAGAAAGATCACATCCCAGCTCTGGCCACTTAGCAAAGCCTCAGAGTTTAAGGTTCTCCAAGAGTACGTCTCCTTGTGTCTGTTGTAAAATAATTCCCTCTCAACAACAGCTACCAGCTACTATCCATACCTACCCAGAGGTGAATGGGAATATTCCTATTCTAGTAGAAAGTGGGGGAAGATCTAGGTGAGGGCCGTAGTCTCTGTAAGGACAGTACATCACACCAGCTTCTCTTGAAAGAGTTAATACTATGGTAAATCACAAGGCAATGACATCTTTTGCAGTTCTCAACCAAATGTCATTCTATTAGCATTGCAGCAATGTTCAGTTTTTTCCATTGTTTTGTGATGTTACTATAACTGACTTCAGAAGTTTAGGCAAATATTAAATGAGGAAGAAAACAAACCCTTGGTGTTAAGATTTGGAATGGCAGATCCCCACATCACTACAGGAATACTTCAGACTACTTGCTTTCCACCACCCCTGTGAACTAGTCTATAAGGGGAAACTAATGTAAATGGGTTAAAAGGAAGCATTTAAATTATGGGAAATGTGAGGGGTAGTGTTTACCCCTTGTATATTCCATACACAGAAATCATTCCTTTCAGAACCATGAAAAGGGTACATAAAGTTTGAGGCCCATGGCAAAATTGGGGGGGTGGGGGCAGGGGGAGCAGATTAAACAGCAAAAGCAGCCATCACAAAAACAGAACCCATTCCTTCTGTCTTAAGTCAAAGAAATGAGGTTAATTATTCCAAGTGAGATGAAACAAACTTGAGATTGATAATCATCCCTGCAGCTCAGCTAAGAGACATCTAAACTAGTTCCTATGCACAAAAGCCCGTCTCCAGCACATCCATGTAAACAGGAAATCTAGACAATCATAGATGATACATAGTTGTAAATGCTTCACAGCTGAAATGGTGATGTGCAGCAGCTGAAGTCTTTGAGGGATAGTGGTGCTATCACTCCAGACATTTTCTTGAGGTATTATTTCTTGTTCACAGAGTCTTAGAGCTCCAAGGCAGAAATCATAAGCAGTCCAAAGCACTACAATTTTCCTTCCATTTTTTTTCTCTACATTTACCCTGAGGACTCCCAACCAGTTCACATTTCTTCATTATAAAAGTCGTCTTTCCCCCAATGAATAAGAGTATGAAGTTATACAAGATGATTGTTATTAAGTTTCATGGGACAGTGACCCCCTCCACATTTCCTGCAGGAGGATTTCAAGACACAATAGCCAAAGCCACTCCATAAGTCAGAAATTCCAGGGCTCCATTTGTCACATCAACAAGAACTCCAGGGAGCCCAGAATCCTGACTGAACTCTGGCACTAAAGGTGTTAGCCTTGATGCTTGCCAGAATAGTTTCTGTTGCCTACCAGCAAGCACAAGCTTAAGGTGAAGCAATACCTATTAGGCATTTTCTTTGCTTGGAGGGATGCCAGAGAGATGGTGGGTGGGGGAGGGGAAGGAGGGAAGAGAATCAGAATATGATTTTAAACCAATTCGGGTGAGCCTAAGGGTGAATGGTTCTATTTTCCAGCTATTGGATCTCCCTCCGCTAAGAACACTAGAAAGGCCATACTTGAGAGGACCAGTGATCCATTTTGCTCAACATTATGGCTTCCAAAGGAGCAGAAGCACTAAGAGGGAGTTTGTGGAGGGACAAGTTACCCTCTTCATTGTATTTCACCAAATAGCCCCAGTTTTCTAGAACTCCTTTGGAAGGCCATCACACAAGGATTCCTCTTAAACCTTCATCACCCATACATAGATTCTGCCGGCACCGCTTCTTGGACAATGAGCTCCTTAAGTTTCTGATTGGCTGTGAGAAGTGCTTTTTTTGTACCTAAGGCTATGAAGTTGAGCCCTAGAGCTAGTATTTCAGGACTTAGTGAACATGTCCTTCCTCCTGACTGGATATCTGACCTCCAACCACCCTTGGTTTTCACCCTTCCAGAACTGGAGCCAACATTTTAAACACATGTACTCATGTGGAAATATCTCCCCTCTGATAATTTTTACTATTCTCTGGACCTTTCCTCCCTTCACCATATATTTTGTAAATAAGGTCACTACAAATGCACAGATAATTTAAGCCATTAAAATGGTTTTGTATGAGGTCCTGTTTTCCTTATTGTCTCCATGTGCCTTTCCTGATGATGCAGTTGGGTTTTGAGCCACAGCAGCACACTGACCCCTCCTTCCCCTCAGCAATGGTTAGGTTTCTTTGCTGAGTTCTCACAGAGCTTGCTGCCTCACTGGTTGCTGGTAAGTGCTTTACTTTACACTTACCTAGAAAACCTCACCTTTCATTTTCCTGTGTGGTCACAGCCTGGCTTATGGGCCTTCTGTGATTTTGTTATTGTTTTAAGTCCCTTCTGGTTTATGTCTTATTGCCTGGAAGAAGGGACACTTGACTGCATTATAATATCCTGCTCTCAGATTATTTATAAAAATCTTAAGGTTAAACCAAGCACTGACCCAGAGGAAACTTCCCGTTAGCATTATCTCCAGAAAGATGTTTATTCTTAAGTCTCTAAGTTGGTTCCTAAGCATGACAAAATATTCTCATATCTCATAACAGGTGCTTTTAAAATTGCTTTAGTGACGAACCTTGACAAAAGTTCTTTGGAAGTCTGAACAAATTATATCTTGCTCCTTCTTGAATGCATGTTTCTTTTTATCTTCAAAAACCTAGAATATGCAAGTCAAGCATGGTTTCCCATAAAGGAAAACATTTTATCTTTCCTTTAATAGGTCATGTGTGATTAAGTAACATTTTAGTAACATTACTAAAAAACTATTTTACCATCTTGCCAATTCAAGGTGAGTTAACTGATGAACTTCTGTCCAATCAACACAGCATGAAGTGTTTTACACAGCAGTATGGATGAAGGTAGAATGCTGCGGGAGAATTAGGTAGGAAAGAGGGGGGAAATAGCTCTTTTATGGGGCAAGGGGAAACCTAGCTAAGTTGAAGAGTTTTTGTTTTGTTTTTTACTTAAGTCAAAATTACATGATTTTAAAAAGCCACAGTGATAGAGGGGTATGAGAGGCAACAGGCTGAGATGTTTATGTTATAGTTTAAAATACATCCTCAGCTCCCAACCCACCAAATGCAAAGGAGAGTGCTGGTAGAAAGTCCCAGTGCCTGGAGAGCAGATGTGGCCAGGAGCCCAGGGAGATGAAGGAAACAACTTGTGAAGTACAGCTGTGGGAGAGAGGCAGAACTCTAGGCAGGCAACAGGGGCTCAGGATCAAGTTCCCTTTGTGATTCTTACCACATCACACCTTCAACCTAGCTCAGTGAATATTTTTTTCTTGATTTAGATTTCAAATAAATTATGTTATAGAAGGGAAAGATGATACAACTGAGCCACGACTATTGTTTACTTTCTACCATAGCATAACAATGATGAAAGTATAACAGAAAAGAAGCTTAACCCTGAAAAATCTGATTGTAGTATCAGCCAAGATGGTATGAGCTTGGCTCCCTTTCCAAAAAAGGCAGCATCCAGGTCTCCCTTACTCTTGTGCCTCTCCTGGCTCCTGCCTTGCTGGCTACTTCCTGTTCTACTCTACTACCATGGCCAAAGCTCAGGCCAAGGACTTCTCAGGTCTGCTCTGGAAGCTCTGGGACATAAAATCTTTGGTGGCTCTGTGGGTGACTGAGGAGATGGGTACCTTCTCTTGTTCACACAGGTTGTAGAGGAAGCAAATGTCTCTGCCGTGAAACCAGGTGGTGAAATGGCCCTAAGTGTTGATAAGATTCCACCTAGTGTGCAGAGGGGCAAAAGGCTTTATACAGGCAAGACATGCGTGAGCCACGCACAAAGCTGCCCCTGATTTCCTAGAACTTGGTCATGCTTTGCCCTGTCTTCCACCCAAGTCACAACAGCTAGTAGAAAGGACACCACAAGGAGTGAGCTGAACACTCCCCAGTCCCTCTGGCATCCTTAGCAGACTGACTCAATGCTGGACAGTGCCTTCTGTAGCGGGTGGTGCTGTTGCTGGTGATCTCCTCGTCTCTCCTTGGCACAGGTGGCCGAGCCACTGCTATCAAAGCTCAAAGAGGGGGTTATATTTCCTGATCTCCTGAAGCAGCCTTTCTTTATCCTGGTTGGCATTGGCCAATGCT